TTGGGGAAAGCATGTGACCTCTCTGTGCCGAGTCTCATTTAAATAATGACAATCCCGTAGAATCTACCTCATGGGCCATCAATCCAACAGAACCCCACTCCAGAAGTGAGAGTTGACCCACACTGCCTCCCAAGGGAGGCAACAGAAGGTTCTTTCTGACACAGAAGCATCTGAGAAAGCAGGAGTGGATGGGGAGGGGCTAAGCATTGCCTGAGAACTTGAGGGGAGATTGGGGGAAGGGGCTCTCCTTGGTCTGGGGTGTCTGGAATGGATAGGGAAGTTAGTGACTATGGAGGTCGGAACTGGTGACCAGACAGAGGGAGGCCAGGGCTGTGTTAGGGCCTTGTCTGCTGTGCTGAGCACACACAAAGCAACAGCCAGGAGGCTGGGTGTCCAGGACAGGCGGGGCTGGCTCTGGCCAGGGGGAGTGGGGAGAGGGGGTCTGCTGAAAACGTCAGGGTGGCACTTTCTCCTGGTTCGGGGTGGCATGAGCCTCCAAAGCTTCATGCTTCCGATCCCTGCCACCTCATCAATGTTTCCTGGAGCTCTCTCCTGTCACAAGGCAGCTCCTTCCAGGCCCTCTGGGTCCCCAGGTTCTTTGTAGTCTGGAATGTTCTGTCCAGGATCACACTGTGCCTGGCTCCTTCCAGCCCACCCTTCCCCCATTCACTCTGCCCCATCCCCGGTTATTCAGTCAGGGGTTGATCTGATACCCAACTGTTCACTGTGCAGTCCTATAGTCTGCCTGCCTCATAGCATTTGGCTCGCAGCAGGCCTCAACGTCTGTTTGTGATGAGGAAGTGAAGGAACGAGCAGAAGAGAGGGACAGGTGTTGGCAGGTGGTGACGAGGCATCACATCTAGCGTGCAAAACATGTAATTCACTACCAGTCCCAGATTGCTAGATTCTAGGGTGAAGCCAAGGGCATTACACATTTCCAGGAACCGGGCGCTGAGTGAGTCAATAAATCGTGACTTAGAGCCCAGTTTCTGCATTCAGAGCATGCTGGAGTGTGGAGAAAGGGAAGGTTGTTCCCTACAGGGCAAGGCTTACCCTTCCATGGGGTTCTGGAGGCCTCTGAGTTCCACAGATAGTTCAGAAAGTGAGAGGCTGGCCCAGGGCAGCCAGGTCTCTATCTGCCTGAAAAATCTCCCTGCAAGCCAAATCAGAAACCCCTAGCCACTAAGCAAGTCTCTTTAACTCAACTCATTCCACTCTACTGCCCATGCTAGTCTTGGCAAAGCCTGATCTTGATCCAGCCACTTGTCTGTGTAAAACCTTCAGTAGTTCCCTGTCACCCTAGAGTTAAGGATCCATGTTGAGTATGTCTACTCCCCATCACTCCACTCCAGGCTTGTCTCTCATTTGCCTCCCCTGAGCTTCCTGAACAGCCCAGATCGTCTCCAGATCCAGCTGCCTTCTAGCAGGTGCACGTTCCGGTACTCAGAGCCTCCCCCTCTCCCACACGGTATTCTCTGGAGTTATCTATACTGTCACATCCCCCACCCCAGGTTAGTCCCGGAGCCCCCTGTGTTGACAGCCTTGGTCACAGAGAAATCCCTACTAAAATTTAGGAGAGGAAGGAGGGAAGGCTTTCAGACAGCATGACCTCCATTTACCCCGACACGAGCAAGCCTGATTGATGGGCAGAGCCACACACAAGAGCAAGCTACTCCCCAGCCCCCACTCAGCATTCAGCATTCATAGAGACCACCCCATCCAGGGTCTACACAGAGTGCTCTTCTCCTCCCTGCCCACACTAAGGAGCCAGGGACTTCAGACATCCTGCAGCCTGGACTCTACCCCAGAGATTGATGTCATTACCCAGGTGGATCCAGGAGATGGAGATTGTTTAAAATGTTGTCCACATGACGATAGCATATGCAGCCAGTTTGAGATCCAAGTCCAAATAGCTTACAGGAGAAGTTGGTCTTCCTTGGAGTGTACCTTGCAGTCCACTAGAAGGTTAAAAACTATGCCCACATCCTGGGCCTATTTGCTCCTTTTCCATTAAGTCAGGATCCACAGGAGGGGGAAACCTAGATGTCAGCATCCTCAGGTCCCTCAGATGCTTCTGACATCCTTCCTTCCTCCCTCTTCTTTTCCCAGTGACCTTTTCTGAAAGCCACTCTGTCACACAGTCGGCATTGATGACCATGGTAAAGCATGCCCTGCTCCTCTCAGAGAAGGTTAGGAGTGGGAGAGCCCTGCTGTGTCTGGGGAGGCTACCCCTAGATGAGCGCCCTGGGCACTCTTCTCTAACCTGCTAGTGGCCCCTGGGGTGGGAGCACCCACCCTAAGTGGATGTTCTCCAGGCCGTGCCTGTCTTTAGGCATCTTGCCCTGCTGCTAGGTTTATCAAAAGGTGGGCTCTGCTCAGTCAGAGGCTGAGATCACACATGGTCACTGGGATGGGGAGAAATTCCCAGAGTCCCCTGGAGCTGCCTGGGACTACTGGCAATGACAAGGCGGGCTTGTGGATCTCTGCTCACTCCTTTGCATGCTTGAGGTCTACAGCCATGTCGTTGCCACAAATACTGCCTCAAATGACTGTTTGCATCCTTATATCATGGACAGGCCTCCTGGCTGGGCCTGGAGAAAGGCTAACAGCATTTTAAAGATCTCTGATGGAGTCACATACAAAAATGGCTCCCACCCTGGAGGCAGAGTGTTCCTCCTGCTCTGGCATTTAAAACCTGAGGTAAACATTTGCACACTGTAAAATTAGTCACTTAAAAACGAAATATTCAGTGACATTTAGAATATTTATAGCACTATGTGACCATCATCCTTGTCTAATTTCAAAACATTTTCATTGCCCTGGGACCCATTATCAGTCATTCCCCATTGCCCCCCCCACCAAGCCCCTGGCAATTGCCAATGTGTTTTCTTTCTCTACAGTTTAATCTATTCTAGATATTTCATGGTGACCTTTTAGATATGACTTCTTTTATTAAGTGTAATGATTTCAAGGTCTCTACATCTGTCACACATATTTCATCCTTCTTATGACTGAATGATACAGACTATCTATCAAAATCAATGAGTGACTGGATACGTAACCCCCTGGTGAACACCAGCCTCCTCAGATGCGCAATTCCTGTGCATTTGCATATGACCTTTGTACATCTTCCTATGTGTGTTAGTTCTTCTCTAAAGTTCTTATAAAACCTTGTACAATATAAATTTATGTTAATAATTGCTATATAATTATACGGGGAACCAATACAGAAAATTTTACTTTCCCATTTTTTTTTTTGTCTCTAGTTGATTGAATCCATTAATGTAGGATCCTTAAATATGGGGGGATGATAAGACAATATTTGGTTATCCTGAGCAAATGTTTGGACTGTTTCTGTCTTTTGAGTCCTGGACAATCTGAAAATTTTTAGTGTCTTTACTGTCTGACCAGTGCTTTTGAGTTCTTGGGATTAGTGAGTGGAGATCCTGGGTGACCCACTTTCCTGTGTAATCATTAATTTGGGGGAACATAGCATCTCTACAGGTTCCATTGCCATGGCTTCTGCATTCAGGTCCATGTCCTGCAGTCACCCAGGTGGGACTCAGCATCATCTCATCCTACTGTGTGATGGTCCTATCCCTACCTGGGAGTGTGCAGTAGGTTCAGTAGAGGGCTTGGGTAATGGAAGAGTGGCCAGGACAGCACGGTCCTTCAACAATAACTTAAAATGGAATTTCACATCCATATGAGTGGAGGGACCCCTTGTGGACTGTGTCCACCCAAAGGGTTCAGCCTCCCCATTTCATTTCCCTCTTAAACTTTATCCCATCCAGTATTTAAAGGGCCCTCAGGCAGTGCCGCTCATTCGGAACATCACAGACTCCTGTCTCCTACGGTTACCCACATATCTTAGGGTGACAAAATGGGATTGAGGACCCCCCCAAAACATTGATTTTACTTTTCTCCTAGATCAAAAGAAACTTTCTCCTCCTGAAAGGAACTGTGCCTGAGTTCTAGGACAACTGATTCAATGGACTAGCAGCTGCTTAAAAATAATACACACACTCAAATTTTGACAAGAACTCGTCAGGCCCTAGTTTGGGGGAAGGGGTTGCCTTTACTTTTGTACACTTGTGGTATCATGGACACAGTGTGAGCTTGTAATCATCCACCTACTCCTTGCTTCAGTTTGGCATGGCGGCGCTAAACAAACAAAAACTTGCTTGTAGCTAACAGCCAGGAGTCGCTTCTTTACTCTGAGCTGATTGCTTGGTGATGACCACATGTTTTGGGGGTAGAGAAAGGACACTTGAACATAAAATGTCCAAGTCTTTTTATGGTTGTGTGCTATTGAAAGCCTTTAAAGTTTTAAGGGCTGTGTCAGTATTGCTGGTGAAAATGGCATGGCTTCAGACAGTCTGGAGATGACTGAAGTGATCAGTTCGTGGGTTCACGTCAAGGCAGGTTTTCCTGACGAGCTGATGTGCAGCATAGAGGGGAAGCAAGTAAGAGTGCCAGAAGTTTTGTGTTCCGTGCTGACCATGTGGAGCCGGTGTTTCCTGTGCTGGGGACAAAGGGGCTGGAATAAAGTTGGAGTAGGGGAACAGTGGGTGGGGAACACATTCAAGGTGAGTTTCAGGTATCCAAATAGAGGCAAAGCAAGCGACTAATGCCTAGCATTAGAATATAGCAGCAATGGGAGGAAAGCAGACCGTCCTGAGTGTGATGGCTTGGCACACCCCCATGCCCCATGTTAATAGGAAGAGTTGGGGAAAAGCACAGGAGAGTCAAGAAAGAACTTTATAGATTTTCCTATTGGAGGGAGAAACCGAAGCTCATGGAGTCCAAGTTTTCTCAGGATCATACTAAATTTTAATTAATGACAAAGCCAAAGTACAGCTAATTCCCTGGGTGCTTGGCCCCTCCCCTTCCCAACATACCAGACTGCATCTTGGCTGCAGGTGCTGGAGGCTGCATGGATGGCCTGACAGCCAGACATGAGCTGACACTGTGTGACTCTCGGTTCTGCCTCCTCTCAGGTCACCATTCTTGTCAGCCTGGCCCTCGCTTTCCTTGCCTGCATTGTGTTCCTGGTGGTTTACAAAGCCTTCACCTACGACCACAGCTGTCCTGAAGGATTTGTCTATAAGGTAAGGGGCATGGGCCAGGTGGATAGTCCTGGGTGATTGTCAATAATTGGAGAGATCGTCAATGCCTTCACTTCCCTGGTGGCCATATTTGGGTATGGGGCTATTCTTGTGAACTGAAACACAGCTGGAAGGGAGAAAGTAGACAAGGAAAGCGAGACCAGGTTGGCCTCGAACTCACAGAGATCCAACCGCCTCTGCCCTGCAAGTGCTGAGATTTACCACCACCTGGCAATGCTAATTTTTATAACCACCATTCACTGAGTATTTATTTTCTGTCAGGCTATTTACTAGAAATTTCCATAAACATCATCTCTACTAAGCCATCCTGAAATGGGATTATTTTTGTCCCCATTTTCCATAAGAAGTAACAGAAATTTGGGGTATTTAGTTAAGAGGATTTCCCAAGGCATCACAACTAGGAAGATGTTCCAAGTGGGGGATCAAATGGAGACTGCTCCAACTTGAGAGTGTGTGTCTTTTGGTGCCACTATATGCCTGCATGGAGTGATGCTCTTAATGGATAAAGGCTAAGGTTCTGAAAGAATGGAGACAGTGACAGCAAGTACAGGAGACAGCTGAATAAACCATGCTTTATCCACACAAGGGATTCTTTAGAAGTATGACAGCAAAAAAAGACTGTGTGCTTTGTTGCATAGATTTCCCTCCAAGATGATATTGGCAAACAAAGGAAGAAAGCTCTACGTATGTGTGAGAGAAGAAAAGTGAGAGGGGCTTGCTTTATTTTTCCCAGAAGGAAATCCTATAAAGATAAAAATTTCAAATACCAAACATGGATACCCAGAGGGGAGAAAGGAGTCGGAATTAGCTCATTGTATTATTTTCCTTAAAATACATAAATTGTTGACTTGTTTGGTAAATAAGTAAGAAAAAGGTAACCCTGGAGATTAAAATCAAGCCAGACAAAGAACATAGTTCTGAATCAAAGGGAGAGACTCAGCAAACTAGTATTTCAGATAGCCACAGAGTGCAGCCTGTAGATGCAGAACCTTAGTAGGACGTACAGATGCTCCTTGGCTCACTGTGGGGAGACAGGCTGAAACTATCAAAGTCCAAAGTGCCTTTTAGTATACCTCGCCTTTCAGGGGTCAGAACTTTATATGGGCCTACAATTGGTGTTGGCCAAAACCACCCGGAACAAAAAAGACTACTTTGTAATACTAACTATTTCATGCAATTATTGAATACTGTGCTAAATTGAGAAACAGGGTCACATAGGTATACATTAGTACCATTAGACAGTTGAAAATGCCCAAGTCAACCCCTTATAAACAGAGGATGTCTATAGCCTAAGAATATTAAGATATTGAACATCCATTCACTATGAATGCTAATATTGGTAGTATTTTATGATTACCCTATATACAGTGGAATGACACAAATGCATAATACAATTTCATATTAATGTTAGGAGCCAATACCCTTGATATGAGAAAGGAAATCCATATATTAGACAAAGAACATGAAACTGTCATTATCTGTGGACAATGACCCAGACAGCCATCAGGGACTAGGTAAGAGGACCTAATGTCATGCTACCAGGAGCTACTGCTGTCGCACGGTCATCAAGCAGATGAGTCTGGTCTAACCTCAGTACCAGCAGGTGTATCTTCTCTGCTCTGAAGATGACAATGGTATAATATTGCTGAGGCCAGGCCCAGGAATACTGTGTCCTATAGTGTGACTGACAGCCAGATGAAACAGAAGCTCCTGCACAGGACAGCAGTGTCTCCATGGATGCCAGCAGCCCACCCAGCTACTCTTGACGCTTATCTCTTTCTTTCCCAGCACAAGCGCTGTATCCCGGCCTCGCTGGATGCTTACTACTCGTCCCAGGACCCCAGCTCCAGGAGCCGCTTCTACACAGTCATCAGCCACTACAGTGTGGCCAAGCAGAGCACTGCACGGGCCATCGGGCCGTGGCTGTCGGCAGCTGCCGTCATCCACGAGCCCAAGCCACCCAAGACCCAGGGCCATTAAGAGGCCTGCCCCAGCTGGGGTGGGGGGTGGGTGGAGAGGGGAATCCCCCCAACTGGCTAAGCAAAGCTGGAGCTATAAGACAACACTGTACTGCTGGGGTACGGGGTGGGGGCGGGGCAGGATGGGATCTGGGGAGAACTCCCCAAAAATATTGTGCACTGGAGTTGTCTGAATCGATCTTTTCCTTTTGTCCTTTCGTATTGTTGCTTCGTCCCCAAGTCAGGCTCGTGTACAAAGGCATGTTTCGCGTTGATTGTTCCCATGTAAGATATTTTCAAAGCCACCGCTTATTCTTTGTTAGGATAATTTAGAGACAGAAAGGGAGCCAGAGAAATTGAATAAAAAGCATGAAATGGGCTCCACATGGAAGACACAGCAGGGCAGTAAAAAGCTCAGCCTCTCCAGGGTTCTTAGATAAGGCACCGTGCTGCTTCAGTGTGGGCAGCCGAGTATCTGTGTTGTAAAGGGTTGGCTGTTCCGTTTACCTGTGGTTTGCAGGAGAGGAACATGGCAAGGCAGGGAAGGCTGAATTGGAGAGAAAGGTGATGTTGGTGGTTCTAAACCAGGAATGCATAGATTACCACTCAGTGGTGAGTTTGCAAAATGAGCACAAACGCGGGGGCGGGGGGAGGGGGGGAGAGGCATCCTTGCTCAGCCCTGCAGCCCATGGGACTTAGGCTCCGAACACTCACAGGGAGGCTGCTGTACATCAGCAGACATGGAAGTGGGTAGATGTTGTCTTTCTTTTGTTTTTCTAGGTGTATCCCTAGATGCTGCCTGTGTTTGCAAGATGGCAGGGGTAGAAAGGGAAAGAAAGGAATAGAGGTGACAGGGAGACAGGTCAGGTGGGCTGTCGTGGGCCTAGCTAGAAGCATAGGCACCTGGGTTTTATCTGTTTGCTCTTTTCCAAAGTGCTAATGACAGACAGCAGCAGCAACAATTGGATCCTAGCCAAGAAATCCGAGAGACAGCCAGGAGGAAACTTGAAGATGGGACCTGCAGTGGTAGTGGGTTATTTCTAAAGGAAGCTGGAGAAGGTGGCTGTCTTTGGTTCACTTTGTAGTGCTGACAGAGCATAAGCATCCAAACTCCCCAGCTGGGTTCCAGAAGCACCTAATTGGGAGCAGGAGGCAGGGGGCATGGACAGCATCCTTGGGCTTCCCTTTTCAGGGCACAGGGCACGTAGCAGGGGCCTCTTGCTTCTCAGGAGCACTCCAGGAAGGCTCTTTTCTGGGCAGGTGCTGGCTCTAGGCCCAAGAGGACCAGAACTGGCCAGGAGAATTGCTCATTTGACAAGTGTTTCGGTTTCCCAGTGCCTCTCCAACAGGCCATCTAAGGGTATTTTCTGTGGCTTGCTATATTGCCAAAATCACTTTACACAGCAGCTGGGTAATAGGAGTAGAGTAGCTCAAGCTATCCTGCCAAACACACTCATCTGATTTTTCCTCCCCCCTCCCAAGTCCTCCCATCACCTTGAGTCACCTGTTAAATTCATTTGTCATCTGAAGCGGATCAACAAATCATCCCTAGCAAAACCACAGAGCGCTTTATAATTTTGTGGTGTATTTTTGTCAGTAGGTAGCAGAGGCTGAAGTATTTTTTGGTGTAATTCTTGAAATTTTCTGACAGGAAAAAAATAAATAAACATAGATGTGTCTGAGAGTCTTGAGCGTCCTTTATACAGATTTACCTTCTGCTCAGAGAGCCTGATGGGGATACAGGAGAGGAAGACTGGGAGGCAGGAGCAGAATGCTCTGTTAGTGGGAGGAGGCACTGGGGGCACGGAAGTGGGGGCATGGTGGGGGATCTCTACCTTAAAGTGACTATGGCATGACATACTGTCAACATCCTGCCATGGATACTGAGTGCCTAGGCAAGATCCCGGAGCTATAACAAGATCTGAAGCACTTTATATGGTACTGGAGGTGTCACAGGACACCAAATCCTCATAGGGTACAGAGGTCCAGATACTTTGCTGCTGAGTAGCTAATAGGATGCTGGAGGTATGACATATGAAGCATGTAACACTGAGAGGCTGGTAATGCTAAGGTCATAATGTGCTGCTGCTATTCTGATTGACTCAGAAGGCCTGACATAATACTGAGGGCACTACATGATGCAGAGATCCTGAAGATGCAGGGGGTCTACATGATGCTAAGGTCCTTACACAGTGCTGGCCTTAGGTTATAGTCCTGACATCATAGTAAGATGCCTGCCACTGCATTTACTACCTGATCACATACTGAAGTTCTTAGGTGATACCAAGGACCTGGCTATGATGCTTCAGGCCTAACTCAAGCTTGAGTTACTGGTGTGATACTGAGATCCTGATGATGCTGAGGTTACAGGGCTGATGTGTTACTGAAATAAGGTCCCGGAATGGTGCTGAGCTCCAGACACAACAGCATGTCCAGATAACACACTGAGGTCCCTATACAATGTTTTCTTCTGTCATATACCGAGGACAAAAAATGATGCTCAGGGTCTATATGGTATAGGTACACAGCATGATGCTGAGTTCCTGACATGATTCTGAGATCTTGGGGTTATGCTGAGACCCTGATATGATTGATGTTGGGGTCTAGCATAATGCTGACTGTGGTCTTTATATGAAGATGGAAGCCTGATTATTATATTGAGGTCTGACATGCTGATGAGTTCCTGACAGTATAATACAGGCCTGAAATGATGCTGAGGCTGTAACATGGTACTGAGAGCCTGACATGGTGCCATGAGTCTGACATCATGACCTGTGTCATACCAAAGGCCTCATACAATGCTGAGGACCTAATATGATGCTGACGTCACTATGTGACACTTGAGGACTGACATGATGACCCTGAAGTCATGGCATAATAGCAAAGAACTGATAATTATGCTGAGGTCCTGACATCATGACGAAGCCCTCACATGATCATGAGGGCAAGGTGTGGTACTGAGGTTTATATACTGCATGTGGAAAGATCTGACCTATGCTAATATCTTACAGTAACACTCAGGTTCAGACAGATTTCGACGGGCTGATATGATGCTGCACCCCTGGCATTACCAGGAAACTTGACAAGATACTGAGGCTATGCCTCCATGAAAAGGTCTCCATCTGATGCTCAGAGCCTCATACGATACTGAAGTCCTGACAGGATGTTGGAGTCCTGGTGTCATAGTAAGGCTCTGATGTAATGCTGAGGCTTATACCTAATATTGAGGTGTGGACGTCTCAGTGATTTCCTGACATGTTTCTGAGCACATATCATGGTACTACTGGTGATCACACCATTTTCAGAGCTGGACATGGTATCCAAGACTGATAGGCTGGGTTTCTGGTATGATGCAAGGATATGACATAACCCTTTGAAAATGACTTGATTTTGAGATATTGATATGATGTTGAGGCCTTGGTAAGGTGAGATTCAGTCATGACAGCAAAGGTATGACATGATACAGAAGCCATGGCATGATGCTGAGGTTGTATGTTGATGAAAGGCATGGTGTTGTGTCCTCCCTTTGTGTTGTAGGTCTGACATAATACTGAGAGCTGGCATGGCACAGGTGGTCTGACATCATGCTTAAGACTGATGTGATACTGGTGGTCTGGCATGATGATGAAGGCTTGCCATGAAATTAAGTCTTGATACAATCCTGAGGTCCAGATGTAATGTTGAGTGTCTAACATGATGCTCAGGTCCAGACATAAAAGAGAAGATCTAACATTATTTGAGGGATCCATCTATTCATGACACAGGTGAAGACATGATTTCAAGGTCTGAACACGTCCTATCAAGATGCTAAAGACTTACTATGATGCTGACATCCTGACATAATGCTTAAGGCTTAACATGAGACATAGCTTCTGACACGACATTGGGCTCATGTTATTTTTCCAAGAGCCTGGCATGAGGCTGGGGACATAATATAATCCTGAGTGACAGACATCAGCTTGAGGTTCTGACAGAAGAATCTGACGCTAACATATTAGATTATGATATGATACTAAAGAAATAACATAATGCAGGGGGGGGGGTGAGTAATGTTGATTTTGTTACATAACACTCAGGAACTCACATGCTAGCAGAAATGCCAATGCCAGGACATGTTACTAAGAGCCTGACAATATGCGCACATCCCAATAGGTTGCCAAGGTCACAACTTAATAGTGAGGACATATTGTGATGCTTAGGGCCTCACATGATGCAGAGATCCTGACATAATTTCGAGGCACTGACATGGTTCAGATTACCTGACATGTTGCTAAGGTCCCACATAATGCTGAGGTCCTGTCCTTGTCGTTAGGCCTGACCAAAGTCCTCTCAAGATAATGATGTCCTGACATGGTTTTGAGGTTCTAAGGTGACACTGAGGTCCCACCTGATGTTGAGGACATGAAGAGATTCTGAGGTCCTGATGTTATGGAATGGGAGTTATGACCCTAAAATGATACTGAGGGCCTGACATAAAGTCCCTGATCCTGAAGTTCTAACACAATGCTGAGGGTTTGACATGACTCTAAGTCCTGACATGATCCTGAAGGGCTGAAGTGAGCCTGAGGCCCTGACACCATACTGACTTCTTAACATGTTGAAATCTTGACATGACACTAAGAGACTGATGTGACCCTGAGTGGGGCGTGATGACATATTATTACCATTAAACTGAGACCCTGGAATGATACTGAGGGCCTGCCATGGCTAATTTGGATAGAAATGAAATTTCTTTCCTACAGGGCCAGTTGCTGGAAGTTTAATATCAAGGTGGGCAACACCTTCTAGGAAGGCAAAGAGTCGCTCTAAGAAAGCAAGGAATTCATCTCAAGCAGAATTCATCTCATAGCATGAATCTGCTCATGAGGCTGGAGTCCTTCCTCATGGCCTGTAGATCTCTCACTAGGCCCCACCTCCAACAACGTTATTTTGGAGATCAAGTTTCCAACACACACTTTTGGGTTACAGAGTCAAACCATAGCATATAGTTGCTACCCTGAAGTTTAGCGACAAAATTAGATGCAGAAATGGACAGTGGCAGAAGTGGGAG